GAAAAACTTGTTAGTGTCGTACCTTCTTGACAGGTCATCTCTGCTGATGTATGATTATACTTGGAATTTAGCCCGTCTTAACCGGAAAAGTTTCGGATTTAACGTACCATAGACTAGATATAGTTGTGGTCAGTCACAGATGAAGTTCGTTCGAGCTGTGAAAGTGAAGAAACTCGTAGCCAAACGAATACGAATTTGAGGTTTCGAACGAAAAGTTTCAACGCAAACTACGGACAAGTTAAGACTTCATCACGGGTTGTTAGTTTTGTGTCCTATACACTCGTCGCGCTGGATGCGTGTACGTTCTTTCTTTTTCCAATTGAGACCGGTGTAATAAAAAAATTTGACTTCGGGTCGAGTATATTCAAGGAAAATGTAAAAATGAAAGCGGCTATTTACAATTGGGACGTCGAATAAAACCCCGGAACGTATCAATTTTTATAGGAAAGATTGGAGTTGCGCCTAACATTAATAGTTAAAGTTTCATATATTTATTGTTGGACAAGAGGAGACCAAGGTCACACACAACTCCTCCATACGCCCGTTCCCACACCTCCCCTCCACGAATGGACAAGAAAAACCAAGCTCAGGCGACGCCCTGCTTCTCATCTCCAATCCGGTTTGCGACGGCCTCAGTAGTACATGCGACACGGCTAGTTAGTTGCTTCCCCATGTTTCGAGAGTGAACGCGAAAATAGTGGGGCGTTTAAGGGATTAAGTTTTCCCACAATCGCTAAGTACAGTTTTGACTCATATTGCCTGTGCTGCAGCACCTCTTTTCACCCTCTGTCTGAAACCAGAGCCCAGTCTGCTCTGATTGGTTAGCTGGCCGGCTCTGTTGTGATTGGTAAACTGCTAAGAGATGTCCCGCCCCTTAGCCTATCACGTACAATGTGTTGGAGTGTGGGGGAGAGAAACTCCCACTGGAGGAACTTCAGGATTTTAGACATTAGCCGCTTTCACACCAAGTACTTTGCCGCACTTAGTGCCCCCATGGCACCAAGTACAGATCGCGTTCACACCGGAATAAGTTCCCTGAGGGAGGATTACGCAAATTAAGCCGCTGACGTCACTTCTTCTTCTTCTGCTTTGGGTTTACTGGCAGGCCGCAAACCACTTCACGGCGTATACTGCCACCCGAAGTCCCCGGCCGGAAGTCCCCGGAGTTGGGGACTGGCTTCAGAGTAAATCGCCAGAACGCCGACACCTCCTCATCTCCACCGCTCCCATGTTTTCTTTTGTGTTGCCATAAGTTATTCTCTCTCCGTTGGTGAGCGGGGCTAATGCTAATGCTAATAATGCTAATGCCAGCAAATACAATGGCGGCTTCACAAAACTTGAAGTTTTATGGGGCGTGGTTTGCATTCGCCCAGCCAATCGAAATTGGTACTTTTTTCTCCCCAGGATAGTACCACCTCTCTAGCAGGCACTAAATATGGGGGTAAAAGTTCTTAGAACTAAGTACTCTTTTTGGTGTGAACGCAAAATTCCAGGCACTAACAGAACTAAACGGGAAAAGTACGGGGGAAAGTACTCCAGTGTGGAAGCACCTTTTGCAGAACATTTAGCTGCTCAAAAACCTATTGAACACGCTGCAGGGAAGGGAAAGCCTAATAACCATCCTCTTTAAGAATGGAATAAAGTGGAATGGTGAGTTCATGTGCAAGCGTTAAGCTTAGTTTAGGCACTGAAGGGAGTTGAGGTGTCACTTGAAGTTAAAGATATAAAACTGCTTTTCCTCCACAATGTAAAATAAACAAATAAAATAGGTTAAGAGAATTTAACCTGAGGACCATCAAGGCTGCCGTCGCCTCTCTGCGGATGTCTGTGGAGCTGTCGGATAGTTTGTGGAGCAGGAGCGAGACACCGTCAGAGGCCAGAGCCGGCAGAGGGTCCAGACAGGAGCAGGAGCTGAGGGTGGAGAGGAGCAGCACCTGCACATCCTCTTCCTCCTCCTCTTCCTCCTCTCTGAGCTTCAGCATTAGTTTAGGAACCAGAGTCAGAAGAGCCTCTGCACCTGCAGGGATACAGGCTCAGGTCAGACACACTTGTTGGGAGGAAGGAAGAAAGATGAACAGATATGTGATAACCCAAACTATTTGTCAAAACATACATAACTTTTAACAGCATTTCAATGTAGCGATGTATTTATTGCATCAAGGTAGCACTGCTGATTCAGTGTATTGATCTGTTTAATGAAACACTGATCAATTCACCAGTGATTTGTTTTTTAACTGGCCGTTATGAAACTGACTCGAGAACAAGTATTGACCCCCAGTGAGAAAAAAACTATGGTTGCAGCAGCAAGGAGAGAAATAAGATACCTAGGGGAATTCAATGAAACAATTATAATAATACCAATTTAAATATAATAATAATGATAATAATTATTATAATAATAATAGTTTTACTTTCAAATGTATTGTTGCTGCTTTTGACAATTGCTGCAAAAGTAAAACTATTTTATTGTATTTGTTTATTTTTGATTATATAATACTGAAAATCCTAGATATTAAGTCTTCAGATATGTCGGGTGAAAACACATTATAATGTTAACAGTGATTGGTATAGCATACATACATTTAGTACAATAATATAAATAATGCATTCTGTATGGAAATGTATGCCAATTTTAATAACAATAAGATTCTGGAAATAATTATAATAATAATTAATCAGTATCTTAAAATAATCAGTTAACTTCTGAAAAATAATGACTTAGTATCTCAAAATAGTGACCTATATTGCAAAACAAACAAACATCTTTAAGTTTTAAGAAAAATGAATGAAAAAAATAATAATTATACAGTGAAGATGTTAGGAAATATGTTCTGCTGGTAGATTCTTGTGTTGTTATTTTAGTTTGTGTGTTTTATTTGACTGTAAAAGTTTGTTAAAGGTCCCATGTCATGCTTTTCTGGTTATTACCCGTCCCCTTCTGTGTTATGAAAGTTTTTTTTTTTTATGTCATGCGTTACCCGGAACCAAATGGACCAATCCGTGGAGCCGTTACGTTAAGCCCCCGCTGATTGGTCCAAATTGACCAATCCACGGACTTCCTCACACACACACACTCAGTGCAGGCAGCTCTGCTGATCTCTCCTCCCTGGCTGCAGGCTGATAACAGACAGTTGGGATCGCGGCGAAATTCTCTCTGCAGACCCATTCTCACAGCATTTAGCAACCTTTTTCTTACTCAATATCAAGCCACACTTATTGTTTTTACTTCGACTGTGACTTTGTGTGTGCTCAGGGTGAGTTTGGCTGTGTTTCGCTGTCGCTAAACAAGGAAACCACACCTCCACGGAGCTCAGCGCGATTCACAACGTCCCGACCAATCAGAGCACACTCTGCTCACAGGGAGGGTGGGGCCTGGAGCTATTGGAGCTACAACGAGCCGTTAAAGGCAGAGAGTGAAATTCAGTGAATACACGTAGTTTACAGAGATGCTGTATGAGAAACCAAAGTGATTTTGGAAAATTGCACAATATAAATCTATTCTAGTAGACCTCAACAATGGAATTATGATCAGTGGAAATGGCCATGACATGGGACCTTTACAAGAAGTGGTAGAAGACAGTGTTGGTTGGGTGGTGCGCGTGGTGGTGGGTGGGGGTGTGTCGTGCTGCGCCGATGGTGTGTGTGAAGTCTCGCGGTAGCGATCGTAAAAGATCGGTGACAACATTCCTCACCTCACCACTGTGTATAAAGACCATTATATGTCTCCTACTTTTAGTACGGCCAAGTAGAAGGTTCGGCGAGGACTGAGGTCCAATTAACACTACTACAGTAATAGGTAGTTACGGTATATCGGACTCCTGCGTCTCACCGGATTTGACTGTCCAGAGGGGCCAGTAAATAGTCCCCAAACCCAGTGTCAATCCACGTCCTTTAGTCTAAGGATTCGGAACTTAATGTTTCTTACACCGGAGTATCGACCTAGTGACGACACACCTCACTGCCAAACAGGTCCAGACACTAGTACAAATACTAATTTTACCTTACTCTTATTACTAATAGAAGTGTCTCGTAACCAATAAAAACTGCCAATGCCGATTCACGTCGATTAGGTCAATCCTCTCGTTAGTACAGTGAAATCGAGTTGGTTGGTAACAAATCGCACAATATCTGTCAGGGTGATTCTCTCTTTACTGTCTTTCTTTACTGGGACTAAGGAAAGACAAATCTGTGGTACAGAGTCGTACAGAGTGGTGACAGAGTGGTACAGGTCGTACAGAGTCGTACAGAGTGGTACAGAGTGGTACAGGTCGTACAGGAGTCGTCCAGAGTGTAGGCAGAGTGGTACAGAAGTGGGTACAGATGTCGTACGAGAGTCGTTACAGAGTGGTAGAGTGGTAACAGATTGTACAAGTCGTACAGAGTACAGAGTGGTACAGAGTCGTATAGAGTTGGTACAGAGTCGTACAGAGTCGTACAGAGCGTACAGAGTGGTACAGAGGTCGTACAGGAGTCGTACAAGAGTCGTGAGAGTAGGTACAGAGTCGTACAGAGTCGTACAGGAGTGGTACAGGAGTCGTACAGAGTGGTAACAGAGGGTACAGAGTGTACAGAGTGGTACAGAGTCGTACAGAGTGGTACGAGTGGGTGTACAGAGTCGTACAGAGTCGTACAGTGGTGGGTACAGGAGTCGTGACAAGAGTGTACAGAGGTACAGAGTGGACGAGTGGTACAGAGGTGGTACAGGAGTCGTTTTTTGTACAGTAGTGGTACAATGGTACAGAAGTGTTTGAGCGCAAAGTGGTAACAAAGGTAAGCGAGAGTGTACCAAAGTGGTACCAGGAGTAGGTAACTAGAGTCGTACGGGGAGTGGTACTAGAGTCGGTACAGAGTTCGTACAGAGTGGTACAGAGTCGTACAGAGTTGTTGTACAGAGTCGTACAGAGTCGTTACAGAGTGGTCACAGAAGTCGTACAGGAGTCGTACAAAGTGGTACAGGAGTCGGTACAGAGTGGTACAGAGTGGTAGAGGTGTAGTACAGAGTGGTTACAGAGTGGTACAGAGTGGTACACGAGTCGTACAGAGGGTACAAGGTGGACAGGAGTTCTTACAAAGTCGTACAGAGTCGGGGTACAGAGGTGATACAGTAGTGATACAGAGCCTGGTACAGGGTGGTACAGAGTCGTACAGATGGTGTACAGGAAGTGGTACAGAGTCGTACAGAGTCGTACAGAGGTCGTACAGAGTGATACAGGAGTGGTACAGAGGTGGTCAAGTCGTACAGAGTGCATACAGGAGTGGTTTACAGGTCGTACAGAGTTGGTCACAGGGAGTCGTACAGAGTCGTACAGAGTCATACAGAGTTGGTACAGGAGTGGGTACAAGGGTACAGAGGGTGGTACCAGAGTGGGTACAGAGTCGTAGCGAGAGTCGGTACAGAGTGATATGTGGTACAGGTGGTACAGAGTCGTACAGAGTGGGTACAGGTGGTACAGGGTCGTACAGAGTCGTACAGAGTCGGTACAAGAGTGGTACAGAGTTGGTACAAGAGTTCGACAGAGTGGTACAGAGTCGTACTAGAGGGTTACAGAGTGGTACAGAGTCGTACAGGAGTGGTACAGAGTCGTATCATCTGTGTGATTTGGTACAAAGGCCCAGGCTGAATGTCGCTACACTCAGTATAAAAACGGCAAATTATAATTATTTTTATTAATAATTCTTAGGTCCGAGGAAACCATTCATGAATGTCCAACTGTGTTTGAAGTAAGTTCGGTGGATAGTTTGATGACGCGTCACGTCAGTACAGGAAAAGAAAATGAAAACTTTTTTGTATATTATATATTATTTTTTCTCAACGAGACTGGGATTAAAAACCCTAAATCTTCTAAACAGAACAAAAAATGCACTGATGAGCTGTACATCAAAGTGACAAGACTCTCATTAACATAGTAATATGTAAATATAAAGGAAATAGGGATACATGGAATGGTTTGTTCACCGAATATCCAAATTATTTATAGATGACATATACAATTTTTCATAAGATGGAGTTTTTAGTGTAATGATAACAGACACGACTATACCGTGTAAACTATCCGCATACCAGTGTGAAATTTGTTACACTCCCGGAAAACAATCCGTACTTAAAATCATTGAAACTGGAGAAACGTAAAATTTGAACTATGGACCCAGATGCGACTTCAGGTTGTTGCTTACGTATTTCAAATCGGCGGTAGACTGGTAAAAAGAACGAGTAAAGAGGTAGTGTTTACATGATCTATCGGAAAAGATCTAAACCTGAGTAAAGATCTAGGAGTCGAAGTGGATAAGACCAGTGCTTACTTTGGAGGATTTTTCCGCTCTCCATGTTTTCACGGGAGTGTGCTCTTTTGACCCACGCTCCACAGGAACGGGACCCACGTGACCGGAGTACTCAGTATGGAGAGGTCCCACGTAGACGGAGGAAATACGTTGTCAACGATTCTCCCTCTTTAACCCAAATTGGTCGGACAGTGAGTAGAGGGTTTTGAGTGGGATAGTTCCTCAGGAGGGGGTGACCAAAGGCGAGGAAGTGTGGTACCGGACCCTATCACGTCACTCTCCGTTCGAAAAGAGACACTCTTTGCTCCGTTATTAATCTGCAACATTCATTGCATTTTTGTTTCGTATTCTGTGATTTTCTTGGGAAAGATATGTCATCGAACGTCAGTAAACTACAACTTTTCGTTTCTTTACGTAGTTTCTGAAAGGTAACTCGTCATTTTCCTTCTCCTTCTCTACGATTACCTGGAACTCCTTACGTTTGGATCCCTTCACTCTGTAGATAGTTTTCGCTGTTGTGGCCGCGAGTGGAATTGCCGCTGTACCAAATGTACACACGTTTGTAAAGAAGGAACAAGTTGTAGGACAAAAAATTTGGATCTCTCTAGGTCTCCGACTTTTCACGGTACGTATTTATCGTTTCTACTTTTCTACAGAAGACTACCTTTACCCTCGCTCGCCAGACTCTTGGTCTCCCGCCTCCTTCACTAGACACAGCAATGGACTGGCAAGGGGACGATATTCTGCCGGCAC